ATCTGTTTGCAAAGAGTTATGAAGAGGATTTTTTCATTACTTTTACGCATTTCAAGGTGTAGGTGGGCAGTGAGTGCTTTCCCAGATCCTCCTTGTTCTCCTCAAAGAAAAAAATTACATTGTTTTCTTCCAGTCTTCAGACTCTCCCAATCACCATGACTTTTCAATGATGATTAAGAGTGACCTCACAATAACACCTGCCAGCTTCCTCTGTGGTGATGGGTACATCCCTTCAGGGCCCATGGACTTACAAACCATGTTGGGTTTTCTTAAGTGCTCCCTAACCTGTTTCCCCTGCATCGATGGTGAGTCCTCCTTGCTTCAGGAGATGAAAAATGTTGGGGAAGTTCACCTTGTGAAAGACAAAAACCCCTTAGCAGCTCAGGGAGGAAGAGGATTTACATGGCTTTGGGACCCAGGAGAGGGTGAGGAGGATGGGAAAATGACGCAGTTCATTTTAAAAGAAAAATTAAGGAAGTCTGCTGGTGTCAGAGTAAAATAGATGCAATTCAGTAATCAAAGCAGAACATGAATAGCAATTGGAATTGCAAATCTAAACACCCAAAGCAGTTGAACCCAACTCGTGCAATCTGTGCTGACTGATCCTAATTCAATACAGCACCTTTTCCTGGCCATATCCCATATCCACCACAGGGGCTGCTTCTACATACTGCTTGCAATGAAGTAAAACACTGACTCCTCCATCATAATTATTAAAAAGCCTCAAATTACTACCCTGAGGGAAAACAGAGGAAAACTTGCCAGGAGTACCAGACACACGGATTACTAAATATCCCAAAGACCACAAGGAGAGAAAAGGTCTCTGAAATGAATCAAGGTGTATTCCCTAAAGCTTCCTCAGCTGGAGTCTTTTATACCACCAAAAGTTTGACAACCTTGTTTCATTTAAAAATATAGAGAATGCATTTAGGACCATATTGTACAAAATAGTCCATAGCCTTGCCAATCTCCCCAGGGGCAGGATCTTTGGAGGGGTTGAAAAGGAAAGTATGTCTTTGCTCAGTCTGATCTGCAATTCTTTTCACATGCAAAGGCAGAGGTGCTGGGCAGAGGAAAGCCAGACGAAACACAGTGTGTGTTCCCAGGGCTAGAGAGATGTGGGCCAAATCTTTGTTCTGCTTTCTCATTTCCCCTTTGATGTGACTGATACAAAAACATTACCCTTTCTCAATTTGATGTTCTCAGGATAAATACAGCAATAAATTCAGGTGTGCAGTTTCTGCCTTGTACTGTTTAAGTAGTTCCTTATCATTATGTGTCTATTTCACCTTTAAATGCTGCATGAGTCAAAAACCTCCAAATGCAGACGTTTCTGTAAGATACAGACTGGCTAATGTAGGATTCTGAGGAGCACCATAGTGCTCTGATGGACTCAAAAGAACCTTTCTATATAAAAATACTTGCTTCAGAGCAAGAGATTGCTCCCAAGAAATTAGCCCTTAGATACTGAGGCCAGTGCTTTCAGAGCTAAGACCTCAGGAATGTAGCGTATCCATGCCATGTATGGGGATTTGTGTTAGCTTTGGCAGTAGCTATGGCCATCAGAAACAGCAATAAGCCAGAACAAACCATTTTGCCTGTGTGATCATTCACAACCTGATCTCCTTGCATCTCTGCTGGGTCACGAATGTTTTGCAGCACCTGGGCCTTGCAGACAACTGTTTTCTGCAGAAGAGAACAATGTTACAGGGTTACCTGTGGTTGGATCCTCAAAAGTGGTGTTTCTTCATGAAGCTAATCTGAACAACCTAAGCCTTCATTATATGTTCTTAAATATATGATCAGAGGATCATGCATCCAGTGCTCTTTCACCTCTGAGTCTCCCTCTCTGCTATGCTCTCATGAGACTCCACCTAGAGTGGAGTGTTGCATCCAGCTCTGGAGATCCCAACACAAGAAAGATGGACCTGTTGGAATGCATCCATTGGAGGCCGCTAAGCTGATCACAGGCTGGAACTCCTTTTCTATGAAGGCAGGCTACGAGAGTTGGGGCTGTTCAGCTTGCAGGAGGGGAAGCTCTAGGATGATATTACAGCACCTTCCAGTACCTAGAGGCAGCCTGGATGGGGCTCTTAAGTAGTCTGCTCTAGTGGAAGGTGTCCTGGCCCATGGCAGTGAGGTTTGGATCTAAATGATCTTTAGAGTCCCTTTCCAACACAAACCATTCCATAATTCTGCTGTTCTTATCACTGCCCAGCTGGGCACAGTACCTTAGAGCTGGTTAAAAGAGGCATAAAGCAGTTATACATATATGTTTGTTTTCACATATCCCAAACATACTGAAAAATTAACTTTTGTGAAGGTCAGAGATGGGATCTGTATCTTTGTATTTCAAGCCAGGGATAAATTTGGTGCTGTATTGACCCACCATGCTGAATGTACCTAAAGTGGAGGGAGTTGCTGCCAGCACAGAAGTTCCTTCGAGAGCATGGAAATGTCAAAATTACACTGGTAGGTTATAAATCTGGAAAGGCTTTCTGTGTATAACCTTTGAAAAATCATAAAGGTTTTGTTTCCTCCTTTTTAAAAATGAATAACCTATCCTTCTTGAGCCTGAAATGTGTTTCTGTTGGAAGCAGGTTGGGTGATGAACACTGCATGAACAGGGGCTGGGGGTCCCCCCAACCTGCAGGACAGTCCTGCTTGTGCAGGATGGGAAGCATGGAAGCTGCAAGAAGGCATGGCTCCTCTATGGCAGGGAGCTACTGAGGGGAGCTGAGATCACAGGAATAGGTTTCATTTTGGAAAGCTTTTGATTCAGACTTAAAGGGAAACCAGCAAAAAGGTTCTTCCCTCTCAGGCAGGGAGAAAGATAATTATCTTTTAGGGAGGTTTGGTTGTAATAGACCTTTAGGAAGCCTGTGAAACTTAGTAACTGGATGCTACCCATCTTAAAAGACTTGAAGAAAGGGTTGATTTGCAGGAAAGAAAATCAGATGAGTGAAAAAATTTTAACAGCTAGGGTTGGAACAGAGACACCATGGAACAGGATTGGTTATCAAATCCCCTTTGCTGGAAGTTTCTAAAAATAGAGGAAGTGGTTGGTGAGTGTAAGGGGAACTGTTAGAACTTTGGTGTGGAAACAATTACCAAGGAGCCTCCCAGCCGTGCATCTGAATGGCACTACTGAGGAGAAGTGATGCTGGCAGCATTGCAGTGGAGAGGCAAGGAATCCCAAGGAAATACAAGATGAGATAGAGCCAGATGCCTGCGGCAGGGGCCATGCCCTGAGTGGCCCCTCACCTGTATGGCTGGTTTGAGGAATCCCAGCTATGGGACACCAGCCCCAGGGGCTTTGCCTGTCCCCAGTCCTGCAGCTCATCTTCTGAAGCACAAGTGTTCATGGCTCCTATTAATTTCTGTTTTTTTTCTTTAGAGCTTGTTACAAATGTTGATCAAAGTTTCCTTTTTCGAGTTAATGATCTGAAAAATCATAAAACATGCCAAGTTTGGAATTAGTGTGGGAGTAACTCACTGACTAAAAAACAAGTTTGGTGAGTTGACCTTCGTGTACAATAGTACACTGATATTTTGTGATCTACATTTAGATTTTTTTCCACTTAAAACAAATCCCTGTGCATCTCGTTTCACAAATTCCAATAAACATTTTGAAACACTCCATAAATACAATTCATTCTTGTCTTGTAAATGTCTCTGAACTACAGCCAATATATTCCAAAGTAAAAAAAAAAAAAAAAAAAAAAAAAAAAAAAAAAAGAGAATCCAAAAAAGATAAAAATTAAGGAAAAAACAAAACAAAACAAAACCAAAACAACTAGGACTGAATCTATTTGATGAATACGTGATACTGAGTTACTGTGAAGTTTTTATTGCCACTTGTTTTGTAATACTGCCCTCCCAGACTCATCCCAATGAAAGGTGGATTCTCCCTTTGGTGGATAAAGGAACCAATATTGAAACGTGGCTCCATACATTGCTGTACATGACATCCCTCAGCTCTTCCTGGTAGAGGTGGCAGCAGGGGTGTGTGTCAGTGCCTTCCAGGTTGGTGGCCCCTGAAGCCTGATCCAGGGAGCAGCAGAGGCCAGTCATGGAGCAAAGCCATGCAAAGTCAGTTATGGGAAAAGCTAAAGGAATCTTTGCCAAAGGTGTCTGAGCCAGTTAAGTTCAGGCAAGAAAATTCTCATTTGGCACCCTAGTATTTTAAGCAAATGTAGAGAACTGACAGGTCCTGCTGAAATACAGCTTATGGTACTGGTCAGCAATGGGGGTGATGTATGGAACAAACGCTGAAGGGTTCTTTACAGTCTGCAATGAAAGAAATGAAATGTGCCTGGAAAAAGCAGCAAGGCACCTTGAATATATACATATATGAAATTGGGTCCAGCCCTGCAGACAAGAACTTAGGACAGTTGGTGTACTGGTCATGATCTGGCAGTGTGCATATGGAGCTCAGAAGGCCAAACATATCCTGGGCTGCATCAAAAGAAATGAGGCCACAGGTGGAGGAGGAGGATGATTCTCCCCATCTACTCCATTCTCATGAGATCTCATGTGAAGTCCTGTATCCAGCTCTATACAGCACAGGTGCAAGGCTGGTGCACTGCAGGGACTTAGGTCTGAAGAGAGACTGCCTGAAGAGGCTGGAAGAGTGCAGAAGGTTGCTCATGACAGTTGTGATCCTTGAGATCATCCATGGACACCTTCCCCAGTCCCACAGGCTTGAACAAGCTGTGTGTCAAGGAGGGTTGAAATGCTACCAAACCACAATGGCAGCGAGGCAGTCTGTAAGAGGAGCTGATAGCTTTTATTAGGTCCATGAAACAGTGAGGGGAAATAAGACTGTTAAATAGAAAGGAGCAAAGACAAGCCTTCAGGTATGAAAGCCCCTTTCTGGGACCTGCAAGAGGAGCTAGAGTGAGACCAGTTGTGGTAGCATTTTCACGTCTGTGCTGCCACAGGGGTGGAGAATTGGGTCGATATCCAGAGGAGGAGCGAGCAGGGATGTTTGAACCCAGTCACCGTAATGGGTACAGGTTAAAAAACACGTCGTTGTTGCAGTAATTGAGACAGACTTGGTGCCCTCCACCACCTCTGTCTCCTCCGCTTCCCCTTGGAGGCAGCGGGAGCTGTCGGTGAGGCTGTGCCCCACTCGCCACGGGGCATGGCCCTCTCTGAGGCGCGGGGTAAGGAGGCAGAGAGAGGCAGCTGCCACTGTAGGTCAGTGGGGATTTCTCCCCACAGGATCCATCTCCCAAAGGGCCCACGTCGGACCTGAAGGGGTGATGGGCACCCTTTGTGAGGGGCAGGACGTGCTGGGTGCTGAGGTGGGTGCACTGCTGGGGAGGAGGGGCTGTGCTGGGCACAGCAGGGACACTGCACAGCCTCTCGGCTCCGGGGGTCCTCTTGAGGGACAGGCTTCGGCTCCAGGTTGGCGCCTCTCTGGAGGCCCCATCCTCCCCAGATGTCCTTGGGTATGAAAGCTGCCCAGAGCAGCTGCTCAGCATTGGCTCCTGGGAGCTTTTTCTCAAATGTCCCCTGAAACTGGCATGTGGCATGTGAGCATCCGGCTTGGAAAGAAGCAAAGGCTCCTGTGTCGGCACTGCACCTGTCAGAGACTTGGGAAAGCAAGGCATGGGTTAATAAAACAAGGTGTGGTGTAGCACCTCTCCTCTGTGAGCTGCTTACAAAGGCACTCAACTAACACCATGGCTGGATTTGATGATCTTAGATATCTCTTCCAACCTTGACCATTCTGTGGTTCTGTGAACACAGGTAACAAAGCAGATGGCATAGCAGAACCTCCCCCACCATGGGGGTGCCCAAGGGCTGTAGAGGCAAACTAAACAAGGCTCCCAGCTCTTGGCTCTGGATTTGTTTCAGTAGTTTTTGCCCAAAGCCTGTTTTACACTGAAAGAGTTGTTTAGACTCTGCATTCACAGCCCTTAGGGTCCACTGCCAGCATATACTGAAGAAGGACTTAAAAATGAAATTATGCTAATGCATTTGACACCACAGATTTTTTTTTTCTATAGATATTGGAAAAGCTAAGTATGATTTTTTTAATACTGATTGTTTTGAAAAGATCTTTTAGCTACAAAAATATTCTTCTTCAGCTTTTCTAGAGTCTAAGTAATAAATTTTCCTGTCTTTACATTTTTTTTACCCCACAAACAGAAATTTCATTCAGGTAGGGATCGGCACACAAGAATTATTCTTCTGTGTCTTCTGTTCTGGATATTTCACAACTTCTTTAATTGCCCCAATTATTGGATTATAATTATGCAAGCTTTAATTCCTTACAGAAAACTCATTTCTGAGGAGTGCTTGCAGGTCTCTCTTCTTTATAATTCCGCTTTTTTATCCATTTAATTATAGTGGTTTTGCAGACTGCTGGTGCAGCAAAGCTCCTTTCAGTTGTTCTCCAGCCACCATGAGAAAAAATTCCAACAATCTGGTGTAGGACCCAGCCCACCTTCAGCTACAGATTCACCATAGATGCCATAGATAGACCATCCTAAAATATCACTTGCTCTGTTTTGGGCTCATACCTTCTCCTAAAGTTCTCCTCCCTGATCTGTTGTGAGCACATTAAAAGTGAATCTTTTCAGAATACATTTTGCAGATTGAACACATTAAAACTGCATCTTTTTGGAATATATTTTTGCAGATTCAGCGACACAGGTTTTGTGTGACAAATCAGACTCCTGAGTTAGTTTTACCATAGCCAGCTTGGCAAAACACTAATATGATGGATTATTCCCAAGGAAAACCTGCTGGACAGCCATGAACTGGAAAGGATAAATGGTCTGCCTGTACAGAGTCAGAACAGCTGAATAGCAGGCTCTACTATTAGACATTTGTGGCATTCTACTCCCACACAATTGAAAGTGAAAGCTTCAGGAAGATGTTTTAGGAAGGGAAAGATGAAGGCATGTTTACTTGACCTAAGCAAGTAGCCTGACCAGTAGGCTCAGTTATAAAAGAAAGAAAGCCACGTGACTCAGTAATATTTCTTAGGTGGAAACTACGTCAGTGTTCATGGAGACAGAACTAAACCAGTGATAGGAAAAGGATTGTTGCTGTATTTGTTAGACAATTAGACAGATCAACTGTTTTTTCTTATGCTTTTGTTCCCAGGCACTTGTGTCAAGAGGTTCTGGTTTTTAGTGTCCTCCTGAGTATATCCAGTAGAAATAACTTCAGCTTCTAAATTCACATTCTATTCAAATGTGTTTAACTTCCTGTGTGCACATTTTATCTGCTTCTTGGGTTCCCAGACCCCCTTGCTTCTCCACGTGCTCCACTTAAGAAATCTGTCCTCACCCAGAGCAATCATCTCTTCTGTCTGTGGCTGGAAGGGCATGGATTACTATCCCTAACACCAGGCTGGGGGAATGCTCCACCCCTAACATATCAAAAGACAAACTGCATGTGAATACTGATGACGACAAGTGAGTGTAACACAGCCTTTGCAAGGAAGGTGAATCCACTGGGATTCCCTCCATCAAGCATACCGCAGTCTCATGGATCTCTGGAGATGCTTTCACAAGTTTCCACACCTATCAGAGCTGATGTTTTAACATTAATGCTTCAGCAAGTCCTTCAAAGCATTGTTCTGCCTTCAAACTAGGTACAGGTTATGCACTTTCCCCTTCTTAACCTTGCTGAAACTCAAGGGGCACAAGTACAGGTGGAGGTTGCCTTTGCTTTTCTTGGTAGTGCAAATAAATAGGACAAGAGGCAATGGGCAGAAACTCATTCACAGAAGTTCCACATGAATGGTGATGGAACTTAGCCTGCTCTGCACCCTGCTTTGTTTACCAGTGTAAATGCAATCTCCTGCTGCCACCAGGCACAAATTTGCTCTGGAAAGGGGGTGCTGGCAGTGGATGACAGAGCTAAGGAAAGCAGGATGCTCAGGACAGCCCTGGTCCTTCTTGACCTGATCATGGGCATAGAGAATGTTGAGATGTAAAGCCTGCTCCCACCCAGACCCAAAGCCCAGATAGCCTCCACCCTGCCTTGAACCACAGACCTTTTGACCAAAATATCATTGACCAATAGCAAGAGTTACCTCAATCTCCTGGATTCTTTTTAGTCTTAGAGAAGATGGAGAAAAAGCTGTCTTTGCTTTTTGCATTGATCTTCTTGCTTCTGCTTCTAGTTTTGTTTCTGGACGTGGGTGGTCATGAGCTCCTTTGGACTTTAGAAGGAAATTATGGTATATTAAAGGTAGAAGCAACTTTGTTAATAATCTTCAGGGAGAGGCCAAAATCACACATTATGGCCTAATTTAATGTTTTGTATTTAACAGGATTTAGTTACTATGAGCTCAAATAATAAACATATCCCAGATGAAGTGGGATGGGGTTGAAACCCTCTGAAATCATAAAATCAGTGCACCACCTTTATTTGTAGAAGACAGTCCCCCCAGTAGAGCTCCACCTGAAGCCAAGAGGTCTTCTGCAGCTTGGCTACAGTGTCCCTGCAGTCATTTTAATTTTTCTCAGAGTTTAGACATGTTTATCTGAACATTAATTTCCATTAGCTTCCACAGAGAATTAATTTTATTTAGCCTGCACATGAGTGAAAGACTGGAAAGCAGAAAAGTGGTTATGTTGCTAAACTAGGACTACAGCTTCCAGAAATAGTGCCCATTATTTCTACACTTGCATACACCGTGTTCCAGATACAAGTTACATATAATAATCAGATGGCATTTTCCATAGACAGTCCCTTGGGCACAACCATTTCCTCTTCCAAGGTTGCCTCATGATTATGTGTAGTGCCTTGGAGAAGAAGAGATAACATGGTATTTCTGACTTCTGAGGATTTGTTGGCTCCTGTGTACCTGAGGCAAAACACTTCAAAATCAACAAGTTCTCACAGAAGCCTAAATAAAAAATACACTGTGCTGTAAAATCATAGTAGCATAGGCTAATTTAGGCTGAGCCCTCTAGCTCAGCCTCCTTCTCAGGCAGGACTAACTTCATAGTTAGATCAAGTTACTTAGGATCTTGTGATTTCTTTTTCTCCTTACAGTCATTTGACCCTGTCACATTCAATAACCTCTATTTGCTGGAACAAAAAAAAAAATTGCTAAATAAGACTTAAAATACCAGTCTTTGAAATTAACTTGCATAATGTTAGATAATTTTACACCAACCTGGAAAAATATGAATTGGCCTTCATGCCTCCAAAAGTTGGTAACTGGGTAACCACCATGGCCTCGGCAGGAAAGGAGTCGCAGAGGTCCATTGCAGTTTGGGCAGCATTTCCCTGGAGCAAGGATAGAGGGAAACATTTTCTATACAACAGCAGTTAGATGAATCCCATGTGATACAATGGTTCATTGGTGGCAGATTGCCACTTCTGATTTGGTGCTCAGAAATTACACTGAGAGAAACTATGCAAAAAACTTCCAAACATAAGCAAAAATCAATATAAATTAGCTATTCATTGCCTTTATTCTGTCCTTTATTAAATATAACTTTCAGAAATTATTTCTATTACAATGTTATTACATTTAAATAATTATTTTATCATTTATTATCATGGTCAGTTTTAGTTTTTGTCTTGTCAGTGTTTGGAATATGTGTTTCTAGAGAACATTGTTCTGGCCTCAGTGAGTGCCTGAGTATTTTCTTTCTTTAGCTAAAAGGTACATCAGATCCAGAAATCAGTATGTGCTAGCTCTACTGAGCAATCACAATTGTTCAGAATGGTCTTGTTAAAAATGTGTGTGCAGCTCATGTTCTCTATTTGCATTGTCTTGCTCCAGTGACGTGACTGTGGGGCCTATTTTCCAGTCATCACTGTTTATGAGCAACTTCTTTCCTGCAAGACTTGTCTCCTGAGTTACCTTTAGGCCAGTGCAATAGTGAAGCCAACACTCAGGTGGGCAGGAACAGCAGGGCAGGGAGCTGACTGCACTGCACAGCTTTCTCAGTACCCTCACTCATGGGCTTGAAAAGGTTGGGAACCAATCCCTAACCATCAGAGATTAAAAAATTATTAGGAAAAAACCCAGAAAATAAACAAGCAGATGACTACACCCCAACAATTGAAGTGTAAAATGCATTGTTCCAAATCAGGAGTTGCATTGGAATATAAGGAATGGCAGAAGGAAGGCTGAGGAATCCAAAGGGTATCCTATACTTTCATTTCTGCTATCTTGTGTCCACTTATGAACTGCCATACAATGAACTGCCAAGTTTGTACTCACGCTGTTGTTTTTGCCTGGCTTTATCACATATGGCTGGTCTTAGGTAGATCTTCCTCCCATCCAAGGTAGAGCAGTCATTACCACAAACCACCACCCCGAGGCAGGACTTTTTTAAGATGCGAGAGTTGTGGTTGTTGGTGTTTCTCATTGCCCAGCTGCTGTGGTGCCTCTGAGCATTTTTATCCTCTGAGCTATAGATATGTTTTACATAGGAATCTGGCCATTCTTGAAACCAGTCTGTGTGGCTCACATGCTGTGGAAAGAGCAAAGCAAGCCACATTTTAGGCTGGGGAAGAGATGAACTTGTTCAGGAGCTGAGCAGAGCTGGATCTCTGCTGAGTTTCCTCAAGCCTAGGTGACTCTAACAACCCGGCAGGTGATGCTGGTTGTCAGGAGGGAGCAGTGCAGATGAGGCAGGAAAAACCACAGTTCTCTGTGGCTCCCCACAGGGCCCAGAGCATCAGGAAGGCCTGGCCAGGAGCTTGTTCTCATTCACCCAACCAACCAACCTAAAAGGATAAGAAGTACCAAAAAAACCCACCCTTGAACAAACACCAAGCCTCAAGGACAAAAGAGTAAGGAATAAAAATAAAACTGGGAAGAAACCCCCCGAAGACACAAATACATATCAGATCAGTGTATAGCAGTGAGTACAGCCAATACAGTAAAAGGCAGTGAGCTGTAAAGCATCTACCATACCTGATGATGATTTTGAGGGAAAAGTTCTTGTAAGGGATACAAAAGTTAAGGAGAAATTTCCTTTAAATTGCTAATCCCAGGACTGAGATCCATGACAGCAGTAAGAACATCAACCAGAAAGAGAAAGACTCCCATGCTCCCCTGGATTTCTTGCCATTGGATAGTGTCAGTGAAGCCTCCAGACTGAAATGCAGGTGAAGGTGACCTTGGGTTGAAGGGCAGGGAAGGGGACATCCTGGAACATGGAGGCTTTGGGCAAACAGCACTGTCATAGTAGGGAGGAGGCTGGGATCCAGTAAGAGGGCAGGGCTGGGAGGTGAAAGGCAGAGCTGGATGGTGAAGGACTGCAGCATGAGGAATCTGGCAGAAATATGCAGAGCTGAGGGACAGGGAGGTGACATTGGTGTGCAGGGTGTGTGGACATTCAGGTTGAAACTTTCAGCTAAGAGAACTAGAAAAGGACAGAGGGAGGCAAAGATCGCTATTGCGTCTCTCAGCAAACCTTGGCAAACATGAAGCAAGGTTTCCCTAGGTGCTCATGAAAAGACTTGCCTCCATCTGGGAAGAGAGCTCTGGAGCTAGAGCCCAACCTGCAGCAAGACTGAGGACCTGCTGTTGCAAGGCAGTTGTGGGTGCTGTGCTCCCACAAAAAGCACTACCCAGGGCAAAAAGCAAGTCCTGGACAGCTCTAATTAAGCACCCACAGCAGGAGGCACTTTTTTTCCCCTCTGCTTTCTCTGCACCTAATCAACCAGTGAAAGCAATGCTTCTGCAGCATTGCTACTTTTCATGGATCAACAGCTCTTTCAATAATACATATAAGGAGAAATGCATGGAAATGTCAATATTTTCTCAATATTTTCTAGCAAAACACTCTTCCATACCTCCAGGTAACAAAGAGAATAAAGGTATTGAGTCATAGATGACTGAGAAAGCATTTAAGGTCAATGGTGGGGATGACTGATGGTCAGAAATAAATAAATTTCTAAGAGACAGACACGTACCTGAGGAAGTTTGATGTCATTGATATCCCAACTCGCCATTTCTTTATGTTGGGAAGTAGAGTCCTCCTGCTCCATAACAGAATCATCTGCAGCTTTCAGCATTTTTGAATTCTTTCCCAAAGTTAGCAAGAAAGTCGCTCCTGGCTGCTTTTGAAGTTGCCTGGCTGTCAGCAGTCTCAAGCAGTTTACAACCAGGAAGCTGTTTCCTGAAGCTAAATGATAGAGAGGCTGCTCATTAAAGATAAAAATCAGTGTTCTTTTGCCAGAAAAACTTGTTCCATTAAAAGTTTTGCAAGCCAGCAAGGCAGTGGAAAGTTTAGCTTGGAGGTAGCCTGTGATGTTACAGAGACATCATTAGCAGCAAGCAAATCGTGGTTGTGGTATCTGATTTGCTTTACTCAGTCTCCTCTCATACCAAGTTTATGGCCATGTAACTCTGCTCCTTGTACATCTGATCCAGCTCGGGCTCTATATTCCCAGAGCCAAACTGATTGAGCAGCTCAGCAGCTGTTGAGGGGTCTTTGGGTTGCTTACCTGTTAGATATTCCTTACTCTGCACAAGACAAAGGTGAGCAAAAGAGGGGTCTGCTCCATCACTTCAGAAGAAATGGTGCTCAACCATTTCAAATATTGCTGGTATCTCTGAGAGCTTACCAGTTGCACCAGGGTAATATAGGAAAGGGAGGCTGGGCTATCTGCATTTTCCTATTTCAATGGCAGACTGAAAAAACACCCCACCAAGGTGTGTTTGTTAAAAGCAACAGGTTTTCCCTGAAATCTTTTAAAGTATGTGTCTGCCCTACTCTGAATTTCAGTACCAGCCAAGCTTAATAAAATATTGTGTTGGTTTTGTCTGGGGTAGAGTTCATTTTCTTCACAGTGGCTGATATGGGGCTGTTTTGGATTTGTTCTGAACACAGGGCTGATAATACAGAGATGTTTTTGGGGTAGATCCTCAGGGATCCCATGCATGAAAAACTTTGTTTCCTTTGCTAAGGAGAGGAAAGGTGAACTAGTTTTCTCTTTCTGGGAACTGGGAAAGTTTCAGTGATTTCAGGAAGGTCACTATAGTTATGCCAATTAAGGATTTATTAAAGACTACTGAGTAGCAAGAGAAGTAAAATCTACCTGATAGTCTCATTCATAGACTTTCAAAAGCATAATGTATTTGTTATTTCTGGCTCTGCATATATGTATGGCCCTTGGGAAGTGATTTAGCCTCCATGTCCTTGGTTTACTTAATTGTGAAACATCTGTGATCTTACTTTCTCATATTATCACCACTAAAGCAAGACTTTGAAGATTTTTGCAGAGCACTTGAGACATTTGGCTGTGTGGTTCTCTGGAAGCATAGTCAGAGCCCCTCTGCCTGATGTTGTGATTCAGATTTTGGGGGATAAAGAAGCAAAACATCCTCCATGGAAACAGACTCCCACAGAGGGGTACCTGGTAGTCAGCACCAGATTCAGGAATCTGAACTGAAGGTGCTGTACTGGGAGGGCAACCAACAAGTTGAAATGAGATGTTAGTACAGAGGAGAAGGGAACACAGTAAATTAGAAATTGAAACCTCTGTAAGAAACATTAGGTCTTCATGTATTTTCCTACTGTGCTATGGAAATGAAAAGGAAAGATATCTCCATGAAAATGAAGATAGTAAGGTCAGGACAAACAAAATAAGAACTGCATTAGAAAACTGAGTTGACTTTGCTAAAAAAATCACCCTTGACTACTGTGTGCTCTAAAACATAATTGATTTTTACACAGTTCAAAATTATAGTCTCATTTCTTTTAAAATTACTTTTCTAAATGAGATGGTTTGAAAATTGATTTTTAATTTTCTTCATTAAAGAAAATGGAATATTTCTTCTTTATACTATATTCACGGAACCAAAATAATAATGAAATATTACCTTAAAGATTAACAAAAGACACAGATAATTTCATAATAATGCACACAAAAAATGAAGTTCAAGAGAATTACATATTAAATGACTTGCAGGTAAAGCCTTCCACTACTTATTTCTCTTGACTCTTGTGCCACAGTACTACTAGTGTTGCTGTGATGTGATGGAAGTTGAACACTAGGCAAGGCAAAATCAAAAACACAGGGAAGAAATAATATTTGAAGATCTGGTATTTAATTCATATTTCTATATATCATCTGAGATAGGTGACAATACATTTAGAAAGAGATATTAAGCCATGTGTTTTATGACTTAACTGGCAAGGATTTGAAAAATTTCCTTTATTTTCCTTACAAGTAGTTGGTGTTGACCACTTAGGAAAAGGATTATGAATTTTTAAAAGAGATTATGTATATTACCAATTTATATGAGCCTATAGGTTAAATTAATTCAATACTATCTGTGAAATCTTATTTGGAAGGACAGTCTGGCAGACCCTAAGCACAGATAGATTTCAGCAGTTCTTCAGCAACCATCTACAGCAAGAGATTGAGGACTGCAAAAAGGCCTGGAGCTGTAAAAGGCATCTTGCATTCAGGTTCCTGCTCTGGAGAGGGCTGTGCAAACCCACAGAGCATCACCTGAGGAAAGCAGCTGTCCCTGCAGGGGCTGGACTGCTGTCCAGCTGCCAGGTTCTGCCTCAGGGTGGTGGCTGGCGACAGGAGCACGTGGATGTCACCTGGCACAGAGCAGTCACCAGGTCAGGATCCTTTCCTGTATCACTTTACCAGCACACAAAGAGGGTTCTTTAGTCTGTGCTTCCACCAGTCTTCCTTTTGCTCTTTGGTGTCATCTTTCAGTGATGACAACCTTTAAGTGATGTCAGGTGCAGTCAGTGGAGCTTTACCTGGGCGGAGTTACCTGTGCAACAGCCTATGTTGCACTATCTTCCACGGCTGCCTTTGTGCCTTCCCTCAAGTTCATGATTTTCTCTGACACTGAAAGTTTCACCCTGCTGTGGGAGCTCTCCTGCCTCTCCTCCACTGCAGCTATTTGCCTTTGCATGTTTCTCATCCCACTTTTACTGCTGCAGAGTTTCATGGTGCTGCTCCACAGGAACCAAGGAACGTGCATGTTTATACCAAGATGCTCCTTGAGGAATATTGCTCCAGACTGGCCTGACTTTTTTGCTGTTTTTCAAACACATTCTGTAAACTTCAAAGGAACAATATGTTTATCTTCCAGTTCAACCTTTCTGTTTGATAACTGTGGCAGTAGGATGAAGCAATATGATTAAATCCCAGATGCAGAGCATAAACTCAGTGCAAATAGATAGGTCATTTATAATGAGAAGACAGTTTCCATCTGTGGAAAAATGCACTGGGGATGCTGCTTATTTTCAATAAGCAATGAGACAGCCTTGTTTTCAGGTTGTTTTCAGGTTGTCCTGACATATCCTCAAGTTGGTTGCCTCTATATTCAACATAATTTGAATGCTTATGCTATCTTCACCGTTCAGTATCCAAAACTGGAAGCTTCTCCCCTGTGATCTGGGTCTTAGAAGGAAGATGAATGTATTTTGAGATGGAAGCACTTTTAAATCCTTGGTTGGTTTTGTTTATACTTTGTTTTCTCTTTAATTCTTTCCTCAAAACTGTATCTTTATATCCCTTTGGATCTGAACCAGCTGATGAGCTCATATTTTTTTCAGTTGCCATACGTCTGAATTTTGGACTGATCTAGATAAGAAGTCAGTTGTAGGTGGTGTAGTTCTCCTGGCTTTGCTGCTTCAGTTACATTCCGTGAACAATTCTTAAAAAATGCTTTTTAAAAGAAGTTTTTATTTCCTAGCTTTTCCAAACATCCTCTTTCTAGAGCACTGTCTCAAATGACATAGTCTGCAGGCTTCTCTGATTGTCACATCATGTAATGCAGACATAGCTACACCATAGTTTGTAAACCAGACAGATTAGCACAGAGTGCACCTCAAAGCTCAAGCACTGATTAATGTCTTGGCCTCTTTTTTTTCAGGCTACAAATACGAAATATGAAATACAAAATACGAGATACAAAATACACAATACACAATAAATAAAACAAAATACAAAATACAAAATACAAAATACAAAATACAAAATACAAATACAAGAAAAAGGTACCTCTCATGGTACCTCATGGGCTCAGGCCACTGCTCAGTACAGACATTCAGGGTGTCTCTGCCTGAGTGCTTGGGAGGTGCTGTGTATTCCTGCCTGTATTGCATAGACCAAGGATGGACACATGAGCCATTAAAGCACCTTATTGAGGGGATATTTAAATCCTGCTCTTGGGATGCCAATTTCTTGAACAGCTCTCACTCAACAGCCTGCAACCCTTTTAGTTTTTCCCCTGTGTCAATTGAACAGCCATTTGGCTGCAATAGTCTCATTTTTCATTTTCTATTTTACTTTTCTGGCTATTTCCAGCAGAGAGATGCAGTTGGGGGCATGGTTTTTCAGAGGCTCTGCTACATGAGGTTCATGTCCACACACCTGTATTGCATAGGGTAAATATTTTTGCCAGGCCTCACAGTCTATCTCTTGAGGAAACTGATATTTATCCACATCTGCATTCGCTCCCATGCTGTGTTCTCAGATGAGAGCTTGGTAGTTGTATGACTTACTATTGAACAGAACAGTATCAATACTCTGTTAAGATTTTTTTTCTTTTCTCCAGGACAGAGTTTTAGTATCAAATTCTAGGAATGTGTCTTTTTCTGTCATGTAAAGAACATACCTCCAAGGGAAAGGTTTGAGGCCTGAGCTCATTTTAATTATTGTTTGGACAGCTTGAGTATATGCAAATACACATTTCACTTTATTTCTTGGTATCTCTTTATTAAAGCTGGGAGCTATAATTCTTTGGCAGTGAAGTCTAGGTTTTATTTACTTTATTTACTTACTATTGACCTCTTTAATTTTTCTGTCTTAACATATCAAACACTCTGAAAAATATATGGTGCTCTAGACATCATATTAACTTACTGGGGTAAAATTCATGATAGCTATTATACAGATGCAAAACCACCAGGGTAATATATCAGCATTAATGTTTTGATGCTGTAAAAAACGTAGGTCTGGGTAAAATTTTGGCTTGACTTGTTTATCTTTCTGACCATATAAACCATCTGTCCTGTTTTGAGGGGTTTGTTGGTTTG